AAAAATATAGATCTGTTTCAACATATTTCACATACTTCAAAACAATGTGATCTACAGTATTTTTCGGAGTATAAGACGCACCTTTCCCCCCCCAAAAGAGGGTGCGTCTTATACACTGAATATAGCATTTTTTTTGCCTCCTGAAACTCTGCCCCCTTTGCAAAAATGGCTGTCCATAGCCTTTAGGAGACTTCTAGAGTGCTCCTGGGTGCTGGGGAGGACAGAAATGAGCAGAAAATGGGCTGGTTTTTTGCTGGTTTTTGCCCTCCTCCATCCCCCAGTAGCACTCTACAAGCCTCCTAAAGGCTAGGCATGCCCTTTTTTGGACAAACAATGGGCCCGTTTTGGGGTCTGTTTTTGAGGAGGTTTGCAGAGTGCAAAACTTTTTTAAAATTTGCCTCTTCAAAATCTTGGTGCATCTTATATTCCGGTGCGTCTTATACTCAGAAAAATGTGGTAGATGTCTGTGCAGATACATGTCAATGTGATCTATGTGCCTTTTGGAAAAATATCTTTGGGACAATAATCTGCATTAACCACAGTATCTAGTTTAATTCTAAAATAAATTAAATGAACAAATATCAAAACTAGAGAGATTAATTTTCTTGGCAACGATACAGAAGTGGTTTCTGCTTCCTTGTTCTAGAATCCAAATCTATAGATTTGATACCTTCGTTGTTATTGTTGACAATAACCTGAATAACATCAGATTATTGTTTTAAGGTGAGACAAATAGCCCCAGATACTGCTGCCTGCTAAGATATGAAAATACATGAAAACATATGCAAAATAGTAAAAATTTTAAGCCAGGTGTATGAAAAATTATTTTCTTGATCCTCAGCAATTTACAATCAGATACAGATTTCTCCTCGTGTATTATAAAGGTAGTCCTAATAACTACTCCTTCTCTCATTGAGTTTTTATCATTCTTTGCCACGTTACATGAGCTAACATAAGACTATTGGATGTTTATTACATCTATTTTGTTGCTGTTCCCATTCAGAATCTAAAAATTTTATGCCATTGTGGATCAGTATGGATTGAATTTCTTTGATGCAGTTTTGGAGGTTTTGGGAAGGGAATGGAATGACTTACAGGCTCCAAGTTGCTAATTCCTTGCCTGCTTTTGAAAACTAGCAAACAATCGTGTTAATAGGTTTGTAAATATTAGGCCTGAGTCTATAAATTGTTGATGCAAATCTAAATTATGACAATGTTCCAATTTTTTTTTTTTCTCAAGAGAGAACATATACAATTATTTGTGATATCTGTTGGGGTTTTTTTATCCAGTTCAAACATTACACGGAGCATAAGATTTGTTTGATTATGATTTAACAGTGTAAATGCTGCTTTGATTTATAACAGTATGCACGGCTCCCAAAACAGAGAGACAATAATCAGGATAAAATTTGGTTGGGTCTCCTGCTTTTATCTGAAGGAGAAAGACAGATTTGTTGGAAAAGTAAATTGGTTCTTTCTTTTCCTTTTTAGGCTGTGCGCTTATTGTGACCATTCCCATGAGCTTGAACAATTACTACAAGTAAGTGTTTTGCATTGTCACGGGTAGCATCTGCACATTGCAGAAATAGTGTTGAAAAAGCAAAGTATATTGGGCAAACATCCGCTCTCCCTTGGCTTTTCAAGTTCAGATGGGGCCATGGAGATACCAGCTACTCCATTTCTGGCTGGAGTGCCAGGCTCCCAACTCCCATTTAAATGTTGACTCTCCTCTGCCAAATGACCTTGCTTTGGCCCACTCATTCACCAAGCCCTTGTTTGCTACCTTCTGTCCTTCAGAGCCTATGCCAAAGGCACCCTCAAGCACCACTCCTTCTATGAAGCCATGCTGCCTTTCTTCTCGCCAGTCCTCCTTTTTACTTTGTGCACCTTTTGGATCTTCCAGTCACCAACAGATATCCTGGAGACCCAGCCGCGCCTCTTCTATTTCATGGTTGGGACAGCCTTCGCAAATATCTCTGTAAGTTTCATCCTTTCAGGCTTCCAAAAGGCTCAGAGGTCAGGAAGTTGCTTTGATTGTTAGTCCATTTGTCTAAGCCAAACCAGGCATCCTTTTAGTCTCGGTCTTTCCTCCCCCTCTCATGCACACACACACACACACACCCCTCCCACAATTTCTACAGTAGCTGACATGACTGCCTACACTGCTGGTGATTACAATCCAACACCACTTAACAAGAGAGGAAGCAGGGATNAAGAGGAAGTGAGTGGGGAGTATGTCTCCTCTAAAGTGATGCCTCTTGTGGCGTATAATTCTAAGAATCAAAGCATGTGTTTCTCTTCATCTGCATGTTTCATAGACAAGCACAGCCAACATAGTGAATGGAATTGAGTGCATTCATTGGCAGGAGTGAATGTCATAGACCTTGGCAAAAGTTTGTTTGTTTGAGAAACAGCTCCAATATAGTTGTTTTGGTTGGTGTTAGTTGTCTACTCCTCCCTGAATGCCGGTGGGCAGGCGCTTTCCTTCCGTTCTTCTGGGATGCTCTGCTGAACATTTTCCGAACAATCACTTACCACGTTGGAACCTTAAAAGAGCCCTTTGCCCTCTTACGTTTGCTGCCTGGAGATTTTATTGACTTGGACTTAAATACTTGCATGGCTGAGCAGAAGGGACCTTGACTTTTTTTCTTTCCACACTAAAGTGTGATTCCTTATTCTCCATATACAGTCTCACTCATGAATTTAGGAAGAGAAATTACATCTGAAACACATTAACAAAAATCCAAAATCTCATAACTGTAAATGGAGTACATCGGATGAAACGTTTTTGCCTGTCGTCCTTTCTGTATCTGATTTCAGGATTCAGCTAAATTGGTCTATGGTGTATAGGTCTTTCATGATATTGAACTTGATACAGTCATGCTGTTAGCCTATACCAGTGTTGGTTAACCTTTTCGGTACCAAGTTCACGCACATGGGGGAACACTGGAAACCGGATGATCAGCTCCCAGTGTGCGCATTTCCCTTTTAGCAATGGTAAGAAAAGTTAGCTCTGCTCTTTGCACTAATTACTAATACTTCGACATGCAGTTGCAGCAGGAACAGGGTAAGAAGAAAAGACTCTTTTGGGATATTTCCACCAATATGTCAGGGTTCCTACGCATGCCCCAATTAACGCATGAGCCTTGAGCCAAATTTCAAAAGAAATCCAGTTATTTATTAGGCTCAACATGTCAGCACTGCCCCAAGTGATTTACAATGCAACTGTGACCCTGTTTCCCCCCTCCTCCCAGAGTGTATCATTAATCACATTGTCCAACAAGGCACTTTTACGGGCTGTAAAAACCCTGCCTTTCAGCCCGGCTTGGTAATTTGAGAGCTGACCTTGAGGAAGGTATGCGTGGAATGTGCTTCTGAACATGGCTGCTGAACTGCTCCATAAGTTCTCCCCCCTTCCTGCCCATGGCAACTTGAGAGCAGACCATCATTGCTTTGCCAATTGGCACAACATTCGTGTTACATGATATATATTTTTAAATCTCTAGACAGCTTTGTCAGTTGGAAATGCTGGATAGATGATAATTATAAAGATCTGTAATTCTCCCTTCTTTTCCAGACGATTTCAACAGTATACATCGTGACATCCATCATAGGAGTGGAGGCCTGGTACAACCCTTTCCTGTTTCATTTTTTATATAAAGACCTGTTCGTTGCCATGATTATTGGTAAGGAAGTGCTTGTAGAAACCTGTATCTGTACAGCTGCTTTATACCAAAACCTAGCATGCCTTTATCAAGAAAATGTTTGTTGTTTATGCTGAATTTTCTTATGGGATGGGGGATGGGAGGAGGTCACACTGAGAAGTTATTTGTTCCAGAATATTTTCATACCAGATGACATTTCTGTTGAAAGCTTAAAACTATCACCAGGTTTCTGTCTGTCTGCATTATCAGAAATGAGTTGTATATAACAAGATAATCAAGTGCATGTAAAAGTAAAGCATTAGAATTGATCATGAAATATCAAAGTGGAAGATAGTTTCTGCCTTTTAGGATCAACTATCAAAGGTGAAGGAATGAGTGCTCAAAAAATGTGCTGCAGACCAGCACTTGGTTCAGCAGCCATGAAGGCCTTGCAAAAGATATACCTACAAAAGATAAGAATTGTGTAAAGAATGGTATTTCCTATGACACTCCATGAAAGTGAAAGTTGGACTCTGAAAAAGTAGGATAAGAAGGTATTGAGACTTTTGAACAGTGTTGGAGAAGACTCCTGAGAATATTCTGAGAAAATAAACCAGGGAATCATCGAACGAATCAACCCAGAGTTCTTCACTGAGGTCATAAATGACCAGGCTTAAATTATCTAGCTTCAGACACATAATTGTTCTCTGGAGAAGGTTCTAAAGCTGGGAAGGGTGAAAGGAAAGAGAAGTCAGATTACATTATTGTAGTCAGATACATGTGTCGGTATGGTTTTATTGCTTTTATTGTTGTAAGCTCATGGTGAAATGGGCAGCAAATAAATAAATAAAATAAGAGGATGATCAGCAACAAGGTGAATATACTCAGTCACAGAGGCTATGAATGCACTTTTGGAAAATCGAATTAGAAAGAGATTATCATGGAGAAAACCTATCCATAGTGGTCACTAGGAATCAACACTGACTTCTTGGAACATAACAAAAAGAATTGTCTGAACACTGACTTTAGGGGAAGTATTTGGAAAATGAATGTGAATAAACTGGAATAAGTATGACATATTCACCACATTATTAAGAATATATTCTCTGAACCAACATATATCTAAACCAAGGTATTTCCTATTGACCAACTCAATAATTCAGGAAATTTTGAAGCAAGAGAGGAATACAGTTTTTGTTTCAAGTTTGAGTCTCTGCTATTTTTTTCTCCATTTTCTTCTGGGCACCAGGAAACATACGTATATTAAAGCTTGCACAAATCTGTAACCTAATCTAGCATATTCCTTGGAGCCCTCTTCTGGCAGACAGCCAAATCACACCATGCAGCACAAAGTGCACAGAACTTTAGTTAATTATTCTAGTTGTTTCTGAAGTGGTTACTTTCTAGCTAGGGGCTGCTTGGTCATTCACCTTTATCCAAAAGATAGTTGTGCTTTTCTAAAAGCTTTCAAAATACCCCCTGCCTTGGAGGGTAATTTACCATGTTATCTTTAAGGTGCTTTAATTCCTTTAACATCAGCAAAAATATAGATCTGTTTCAACATATTTCACATACTTCAAAACAATGTGATCTACAGTATTTTTCGGAGTATAAGACGCACCTTTCCCCCCCCAAAAGAGGGTGCGTCTTATACACTGAATATAGCATTTTTTGCCTCCTGAAACTCTGCCCCCTTTGCAAAAATGGCTGTCCATAGCCTTTAGGAGACTTCTAGAGTGCTCCTGGGTGCTGGGGAGGACAGAAATGAGCAGAAAATGGGCTGGTTTTTTGCTGGTTTTTGCCCTCCTCCATCCCCCAGTAGCACTCTACAAGCCTCCTAAAGGCTAGGCATGCCCTTTTTTGGACAAACAATGGGCCCGTTTTGGGGTCTGTTTTTGAGGAGGTTTGCAGAGTGCAAAACTTTTTTAAAATTTGCCTCTTCAAAATCTTGGTGCATCTTATATTCCGGTGCGTCTTATACTCAGAAAAATGTGGTAGATGTCTGTGCAGATACATGTCAATGTGATCTATGTGCCTTTTGGAAAAATATCTTTGGGACAATAATCTGCATTAACCACAGTATCTAGTTTAATTCTAAAATAAATTAAATGAACAAATATCAAAACTAGAGAGATTAATTTTCTTGGCAACGATACAGAAGTGGTTTCTGCTTCCTTGTTCTAGAATCCAAATCTATAGATTTGATACCTTCGTTGTTATTGTTGACAATAACCTGAATAACATCAGATTATTGTTTTAAGGTGAGACAAATAGCCCCAGATACTGCTGCCTGCTAAGATATGAAAATACATGAAAACATATGCAAAATAGTAAAAATTTTAAGCCAGGTGTATGAAAAATTATTTTCTTGATCCTCAGCAATTTACAATCAGATACAGATTTCTCCTCGTGTATTATAAAGGTAGTCCTAATAACTACTCCTTCTCTCATTGAGTTTTTATCATTCTTTGCCACGTTACATGAGCTAACATAAGACTATTGGANAATTGCATGGATAGCCTTATGGAGGCTTATATAGAGTGCTGCTGGAGTTTCTGAAGGCCTCTATAAGGATATGCACTACCATTTTGGTGAAAGGGCGGGGCTTCGGGAGGCAAAAAAATGCTGTATTCGGTGTATAAGATGCATCCAGATTTTCAGCCTCTTTTTTGAGGAAAAGTGAGTCTTATACTCCGAGAAATACAGTAATTGGTTCGTGACTCTCCATGTCTCCTTGCCAAGTTTTGAAGATATCGACATGGCAGCTCTCCAAGGCAGATAAGGTCTATGACTGTAAGTTCACCCTTGAAAGACTTTGCTGGATGTGAATAAGAGGAATTCACAATAACATAATAAAAAGCGGTTTTTATTGGGACAAGGAGTCTGCTTCATTTTTTGGGGAAGCCTAGGTAAGAATAGCGAGAGTATTAAAATGTGTGGAAGTGAAAAATAAATGCTGATACAATACTTTTTCTCCTAACTGGAAAGCTACAGGTTCTTTCCAAAGGTTGCCGGGAAGAGGTGGAAGAGAGGGATTTGACTTTCAGGAGGCCAAGGAACAGAAAGGAATTTCACAGAATCATAGAATCATGTGACTGAAAAGACCTTGGAGGTCTTCTAGTCCAACCCTCTATTCAAGGCCCGAGTTCTTATACCATCCCAAACAAATGGTTGTCCAATTTATTTGGAGCAGAACTTGGAGCAGGGAAAAACAATGCCTATCCTAGCAACGATATAAATATTAGTCTGAAAAGAGACAAGGATTAAATATGACGCAATTACAAATGCTGTGGTTGCCTGAATCCAGAGCATTACCATTGTTTAATAAATAGGA